CACTGCCACAGGCCACCGAAGGTTATGCCCCCCCCCCCGCTGGACTACCCCCACTGGACTACCCCCACTATATAATGCAGGCTATGCTGCTCCTCTCACAGGTTAGGCACGGTGGGTGTTGGTATGTAGGGTGGTAGCTGATCATCTCTGTGCTAAATGAAGCCAGAAGTGACAAGGATTTCATCGCTTCTGGTTTCAGATCTCTGTCAAATATTTGTCTATGTCAGGGGTGGGAAAACTCCAGCCCTCCAGCTGTCATGAAACTAGAAATCCCACCATGAAATAGTTTCCAGGACTCATGCCTGTGGCTATGAGAATCTTGCAATGCATCATGGGATTTGTAGTTTCACAACAGCTGGAAGGCCGGAGTTTGCTCTCTTTGCCACGTTGACCATTATCACTGGGCCTGGAAGGATTTTATCACTTCAGCTTTCTGACCTCTGTCCATTCTTACCGGGTAAAGTTTACCCTTTGAAGCCGTAGTAAATCGCTGTGTCCTGGGTGGGCGCCATGAATCATGTATTCATACTTGCACATTATGGCACGCTTACCATACAAGTGTGTCGTTCTCCATTGCTGCGCAATGCATCCTCTGTAGCCATCTCCGCCGCCACTTCCGGGTACCCATGGATCCTCTTCAGCCATTGGGTGGCCATTGATGATGTAACTTCTGCGCATGCGCACAGGAGTTACATCCTTCCTGACATCAGGCCCATGCACAACTTAGATAAACAATGTATGGCGCATGCACCCTGCAGTGTTCACAGGAAATAAAACATTTCTAAGGAAGAGGAAGATGTTTTTTATACAGAGGAGACTTACCTGAGCCCTACCTCCCTGCAACTGTTTATTTTTTTTTACTTTACTTCCACTTTAATTTTAACTGAAAGTTCAGTTGGACTTTAATGAGAGCCGTCAGAATCTCACCTGGTACCTAGACCAGTCTTTCTCAACCAGGGTGCCCTCTGGCTTCCTCAGGGGCACCTCAAAATGTTCCCGCCTGCCCTCCCGCTCTCTACCATGCAGCTTCTGGTGTGATGATAGGATTCTGATGTGAAGGGGGGGCGCTGATGTAAAAGAGGCTATGAAAGGAGGTTCCTGATATGAAGGGGGAACCCCTACTTCTTTGTGATTTTGTGTGGTGTTGCCCCCCCTTAAAGTCGATTACATTTTACACTGAGGTGCCTTAAGATTTTGCATCATTTTAAAAAGGGGCGTGGCTACAAAAAGGTTGCGAAGCGCTGACCTAGGCCGATCTCTATCTGGATCCAATGAGCTGCTGTTTCTTTCATATGTTGGTGCTCTGTGTAAAGGTGCCCATACACTGGCCGATTTTTGGACGCAGGGCTGTAGCTACCATGGGGCAAGTGAGGCACTCGTCTCAGGTGCAGCTGAGAGGGGGCGCAGCCAGGTCCGGCCTGGCTGCCCCTCCTCTCCCCTGTTGCCATGGCGAGCACAGGGTGCCATTGGCCATAGAGGCGCCAGGAGGCTAACACAGCTGCGGCTCGGCAGGGGGAAGAGCAGCTTCTTTTCGAATCCCCGCAACTCTCCCCCACCTGTATTGGCAGAGGGCTCTGTGTCCTCAATCTCTTTTTCTATTTCAAAAAGTTTAGACCCCTGATATTTCCCACGCGCGCACACACGCAAAGACTATAAATTTGTTTCCGACTAAATTGTTAGAAACCACAAACGTTTTCTTTTGTTTCGTCAAACGAAACAAATTGTTATGCTATTTTGGATTTGGCTTTCGCCGCCATCCTGGAGGCGGGGCGCATGACATCACATACCGCACATGTCTTTTGGGGGGCACAATTTTCTGTTCTTGCCTCGGGTGCAAAAGGAGCTAGCTACGGCTCTGTTCGGATGGTTTTTAATGTACCGGCCGAAATTCGCACAGTGTGTGGGGCTGTCGGCTCCCTTTCAGCCGCCATTTCTCGATCAGCTGATCAAAGGAGCCGGCTTGAAAATCTTTGTGCGAACAGAGCCGGCAGCCAATAAATAAAATAATTGATAGGTGTATGACCAGCCTAAGCCTATGCATAGATCTTGCCAGGCCCATATCCCACAATAGAAGGAATCAGTGGGCCGGTGTAACCCTCGGAATAAGAACATATGGGGCTGTTGATACATACAGTTTGTGTCAGGAAGCAGCAGCAGATTCCTTTAGAAATAGTGCAATGCTTTCCCCTGCTTTGTAAACTGCGTCAGTGACTGTCCTGCTGATATCTAAATATTATTGTCTGTCTGGCAACAAAAAAATCTGAAACCAAACCTCCCACAGAGCTCTGCAGGCGTATTCTTCCAGAAGGGGGCAAACTCAGCATATTTAGGGATAAGCTTTCTCTAATATGGAAATCCGTGTTTCTTCTGTGTAAACAGAATGGGGATAAGTCTGCTGAAGTTCTCCACATCTTTGTAATGGGATTTGCTTTCCAAGAAAAGATTTTTTTCATACTGATTGAGATTTGTGGCAATAAACTTAAAGGAGAACTATGAGGTGAGTGCTTTTCACTCACCTCATAGTCCTTGCCGACCTACCGTGTTTCCCCAAAAGTAAGACCTACCCCGAAAATAAGACCTAGCACTATCTTCAGGGATTTCTGTAATATAAGACCTACCCCGAAAATAAGACCTAGCACTATCTTCAGGGATTTCTGTAATATAAGACCTACCCCGAAAATAAGACCTAGCACTATCTTCAGGGATTTCTGTAATATAAGACCTACCCCGAAAATAAGACCTAGCACTATCTTCAGGGATTTCTGTAATATAAGACCTACCCCGAAAATAAGACCTAGTTCGGTGGTAGATCTCATATTACAGAAATCCCTAAAGATAGTGCTAGCCGCAGCTCCTTCCCGCCCGCACGCACAAACCCCCGCCCGCCCACCTGGCTGTGGCTCCCTGGACGGCAGAGCAGACAGCTGCAGCCAGGTAAGAAATCCCCCCAAAATAATAATGTCTTATTTTCGGGGAAACACGGTATGACAATGAGACTGTCACAGGTCGGCTCAGTAGATCGGGAGGTGAGCGAACACATACCGGCGTTTGCTCACTTCTCGATCCTGTCACTGCAGAGAGCCGTGACGGGAGGGGCTGGATTCCCCCCTCCGATCCTCCAGCGCTGACCGGCGGAACGGACGGGGGTGGGGGCGGGTACCGCTGGCTCTGCCTCTGGGGGTTGGGGTGATGGGAGGACGCTAGTTTGTGTCCTCCCGTTACCCTAAGGAGAACTATGGGGAAAAGCCCTAACCCCATAGTTCTCCTTTAAAGCGAACCTTTAGGCTAGGTTCACACCTACACTACACCGCACGACACCCGGGACTCGCGCGATACTGTACAATGCAGGCAGTGATTGCAGCTTGGCCCCATTGATATCAATGGGGTGACAGCCGCGTGGCAATCGCAGAAAAAAGGTACACATACCTTTTTTTTTGTGAGACACGACGCGCGGCTGTTTTAGCCGCAATTGTGTTCGGAAGCATGGGCGGAGACGCGGAGGGAAGCCGCGCGATCTGCCTGGCGCGACTGAGGTGCCATTAGGAAATAATGGCACCCACAGGGCGATTGGCTCACACCGTGGCTACTCCTGACCGCGCGGCAATCCGTGTGGAATCGTGCATGATTGCTGCGCGGTGAGGTGTCGCCTAGGTGTGAACCCAGCCTTACCCCCTTTCACTAAAAATCACATCGGCATCCAGCTCTGCATGCGGATTTAAAATCATCTTACATTCATTAGTTAAACAAACTTGTCTTTCATTTACTTACGAATAGAGTTCATTCACTTCCTGGTCCAGTTCTGGCAAAATAATGTAATGTGCCAAAGTGTTGCATCCTGGGAAGGTTACATCAGCAGAGCATTGCTGGGAAATCTCATCTGTAATCTCAGGAGATCTCAGGAAAAGGCAATTTCCTCCCCTGAGATAATGTGCATGGTCACATGTGCCAGAGTTCCAGGAAGTAGTAGGAGAGCTAGTAATCTGCCCTTAGTAAACATGACCACTGTCAGAAGGCTGGGAAAGAAAAGAGAAATAAGGAATGTAAAGAATACAAAGCCGGCAATTATCTAGAAGTATGTGTTTGTAGATTGTCATTACAAAACATTTCTAAAGGTGCGCTTGTTATTTTATAGCAATGGGTAAAGGTCCACTTTAAGCGTGTTTACTGATGTAAATCATGATTAGTTTGATGGCATTTTTTGTACGTTTATTTACATTAATATATGCTTGGATTGCCAGAGTGCATGTTTTATGACTTTGTGGATGAGAGGAAGATCAGCTGGGCACCTCCATCGCTGGACTACATGAGGCTCTTTTCACACAGATATTGCCTGTTGCGATCAGCAGGAGATCTGTGGACAGATCCCCTGCCTATAAGAGCAGTACGGAATGGATGTCACCATGTCCGTTCAGTTCTTGGGATTGAGGAAACAAATGAGCTGTATGGACCCATGTTAGGTCTATGGGGAGTCGGATGTAAGTGGACGTGTACGTTTTACATCCGATTACTTCCGATCTGTCATGATCAGGTACGCCAAAACAGAGCTCTGTTCCCTTTCTTTTTCTTGACCTAAAAATACGGGGAACTTCTGATCAGATGCCTGAACAACTGACAGGCAGATCTGATTGGACCACCCGTGTAGAAGGGGCCTACGGAAAAAATCAAGTTGGTCAGCCAAAATGATCCAATACAGCTGACCATTCTTTTCTATGATATCTATCATCCACGCGTGTCTGTAGCCATCATTCTCAATGAACGGGTGCAAATAAGACACAAGAACGACAACACATAGTCCACACTTCCACCATACCCTAAGGCCTTCTCCTCACTCAAAGCCCATCCCCAAGGACACCTTACTGGAATGTAGAAAGTTTGGTCTTCCATTGGAATAGTTTAAAAGTTCATGCAGGTAAAGAATGGTGAATTGTGGCAGATTGCAGTGCGTTTGGCCCCATAGACTTCAATGGGAAACGTGCAACTAAAGCATTTTGCACTTTTCTGTGCAAGTGTTTGCGCGCATCTGTCCATTGAACGCAATGTATTTCAAACTGCACAGGCATAGCCCACCTTTTGCAAAAATACATAAATAAATGCACCCACGTTGATTAATAAAATGTGCATTTATTATTTTCTTGCATTGGAGTCTGCAAAGCATTGCAACAGCAATCAGTGGATAGTGGGTGCAATGTACAGGCTCCTGCAGGCTGTTCCTTCAGCCCCAGGTCAGTAGAGAGGCACAGACCTTTTGTTATCAGTGGATTACCAGTGTGGTGACATCACCATACTTGTGCTCTATTGAGGTCAACAAGTCCCTCTGCCGCACATGCACAGCCGGGTCATTCATTCACACAGTGGCATCACTAGGGGGGTGCGGCCCGCACCCGGGTGACACCAAAATGACTGACAGTCATTTTGTTGTCACCCCCTCTAAAAAGTCAGGCACTCGCTTGTGGACCTAGAGCCCGACAGTGTCAGGAGAGAGGAGGGGACACGGCGGAATACCTCATCCCGCCCGGTGAACGTCCCCTCCTCTCTCTGCCAGCATCCATCACCAAGATGGCCGCGCATGCGCGATGTGACGTCATGCGCGATGCCGACACGGCGGGGTGTCACCCGGCCTCGGGACGCCCCTGGATTCACAGATCCATTCACAGGATCTTTGAACAGCCATGCCGAATAAAAAATACAAGATGCTGCAGGGAAAGCAAAAGTCCTTTTCCATCTCCCATTGTGACATTTCAGTAAAGTTCTAACAAAAAAGAAAGTGCGATGCGACTCAGTCAAGTGCATTGGCACTGTATGTGCACACGCATACCAGCAGCCCTGCGGTTGAGCACATCTGCTGGTGTGAACAAGCCCTTAGCCTTGACAAGTAACCCTTTCAGTGCATAGGTTAGGGGTGTACTTTCTATTTAATTCCAGAGTTCCATTTTAAAGTATTAATTTGTCCCTCTGATATTAGTGTCTGTGGACAGATTTATGACTGCAGTAGAGATCATACATTTTGTAAAAACATTTCTCCTCCTTGTCCTTGCAGGCATGTGGGCTCACTCCCTCACTGTTCAGGATTACCAGGATCTGATAGACAGAGGATGGAGAAGGTAAATGCAATGGGTCGATGACTTTCCTCATCAATCTTTTCTCATTTTCCTTTAAAGTCGTCGTATTTGTTCAATATTGTTTTTGCATAATTACATCTTCCAGTGTTCCTCTGCTTTTATGTAGGTATCTGTACTTCAGAGTCTGCTCTTCCTGCCCATCCCACTTCCTGTATGAGCATACTCCCTAATCTTGTGTTTATGACAAGGATATACTTGGCTTCTTCTCTGCAGTGATACATGACCGCCCGATGGCTCCCCATCTCTCAGGGGATAATTAAAGCAGGCCTGGCTTGTTCATTTTCTGGCCATGTGTTGAGCATATTGTACAAACATTGACAGGTTTCCTTTCCCATTGAGGTCAAGGAGGATGTGTGCACTTATTTCTAGAACGTGACCGTGAAACAAGCAGAACAGTTAGGAGAGCTACTACAGGTTTTACAATGTCATTTTCAGAAAGGACTTTTTCACAATATATCGCAGTGCAGAAGTTTCATCATAGCGGGTCCTTTTTTCCAAACAGTGTAGCGTGAAATGCAGTAAATCCTGCAAATCCTCCACAAAGTGGGTATCAAAACATATGTAGCGCTCACCCCCGAAGGAGCCGCTGAAATGATCGGGTCTTCCATAGCCTGTCTAGGGGATTATAAAAAACACATGGCTGCCCCAATAGCACTTACCACTTCCAGTGGTTACCGACAGATTGAAGTCCAGACAATACCTCCAAGATGATTCTCTTTATTGCTGTAACTCCAGGGAGAGAGGGAAGAGGGTCAGGCACATCCAGCATGAAAGGTAGACTCCTTGTATTTGAATCAGAGCAAAGTAACTGCTGCCACCACAGACTTGGACCTTTAAGCCATACAGGCAATCTGTGTGGAGAACTTCTGGCAAGCAGTACTGTCAAGGATCTTGTTCAGGTTCAACTCAGACATGAGTGGCTGACCACTGGGCCTCCAGGCTCCGGCCCCAGTGTCCAGGCCTAGGCCCCTGGCTTAGGCCTAGTCCATTCTATCTCTTCAGCAGCAGGCATCCTGCCCCAGGCCAGGAGGGCCCTGGGGAGGGCAAGGAAGAGACTGTTGCATCAGCCACACTCAGCATTTATATCCTCTCCCAGCATGCATCACTGTTACTGTCCTGCAGTGATTGGCTGGGAGACATAAATGCCCAAAGCAATCCTCATTGGCTGTTCTGCCCTGTGTGGTAACACACCCACCCACCCACAGGCAGACACAGCTTCACAGATTGTTCTGTCACAGTTGAACTGAACATAGACTATATATATGATCTAGCACTCCTTTTTAGCAAGGTGCTACACATATAAAAAGAAATTACACTCTTCATTAGTAAGTAAACAGTGACCTAATTACAAAGCAGGATATGGTTTCATGAAAGCCTGCAGAAATCACTCACAGGGTTATTCACAAAAGGGTGAAGGCAGGAGACGTGAACAATCTAGGACAACATAGCTGAACTGGAAAGTGAGCTGAATTAGAGAATTTTTACAAATCAGCTATGTTGTCCTAGATTGTTCCCTTCTCCTGTCTTCTCCATACTCTTCACCCTTTTGTGAATAACCCTGTAAGTATTATCAGTTAACATACTTCTTTTGCAATTTGAGAGCAGTTGAACGGTTAAAAGAGAACTATGGGGGTAAGTGTTTTTCCCCCTAGTTCTCTTTAGGGTCACGGGAGGACACATACTAACCTCCTTTCGTGACCCAAAGCTTAGTATATCGCAAGCTACAGTTCGCTATATACTGAGAGCGCCACAGCCAGGGCGGATCCCGTCAATGCTTTCGATATTCACCCAGCTGCGTGAGTGACAGCTGGCTCTGCCTATCTAGAGGCAGAGCCAGCTGTGACTGCCCCCTCCCCCGTCCGTTGCCCCAATCAGCACTGGAAGATCGGAGAAGGGAGGGGGAATCCCTGCGGGGAGCGGTGACTGTCAGTCACTGCTCTCTGCAGGGAGATGTTCGAGAAGTGAGCGAGCGATGGTATGTGTTCGCTAACTTCCCGATCTATTGAGCCGACTTGTGACAGTTTCATTTGTCACCCGCGACTCGAACTATGAGGATGAGTGATTTTCACTCACCTCATAGTTCTCCTTTAATTCACCTTTTCACAAAAAATGAAAATGTGAACTAACGCGCAACAGTAAATGGAGATTGTCATTGTTCAGGGCGGTTATGTGGCGAGGCTGACCAATAATCACTGCTCCTTATTAGTTCCTCCAAGGCTGTGTAGTAACGCTTCCAAGTTCCCGGACCGTTATAACGGCTGGCACGGGGATCAGGAGGGGGAAATGAGGAGGGTGTTATGAGTTAGTTCACCTTTTTCATTTTTTTTGGAAAGGTAAACTAACCTTTTAACCCCTTCGTGACTGACGACGTACAGTGTACGTCGCCAGCATCGGAGAACACAACCAGATTTGCTTTAATTAAAACGAAATGGCAACAAGAGATACCGGATTTACCAGAGGAGTCGTAGGAGTATGTGCTAGGTTCTCGCATCAACTTTATAATAGCCTCCAGGGATCAGCTGATCCAAATAAAATATTGATATCAAATATAGTTCTACTCACCCGACCCTTGGAGCCAGCTGGCTCTTAAACCGGTCGCTGGAGCCTCTCTCCTTCTCTGCTACAGCGGTCTAAGGATCCTTGAATCATCAAGTTCTATACCGTGTGTAAGATGCCAAGAGACATGAAATCGCAGCAGCGTAAGAGGAGAGAGGTTTTTTAGGGAGCACCATGACCGCCTCCAAGGTTCAGGTGAGGATAACTTTATTTTTTTCAACCGTGACAGAAACGAACAGTTAACCCTTGCAGTTCAGAGTAGCCCCCACTGCAAGGGTTAATAAAATGTATGCCCAGAGTTCTTCTTTTAGGCCTGTTGCAGTGGAAATGTTGTGCTCATGTCCATTACCTCTACTACTACATCATGTTAAAATGACTCAAAGCTGAGTTAATGTTATGAGGAGCTCCAGACTGTCTTTTTAGAAATGATCTTTTCCACCTAAAACTGTACTGAAAGAATATGAATAAATATGCCGCCATCCCTTGTCACTTTTCTGAAAATGTTGGTCGCCGGATGTCTTTGACTTTTGAGTCACTGGTCCAGAACACGCATGCAGCAAGGCAAGTCAGAGTGGAGTCAGAACACTTGATATTCATACATTTCCAGTGACTCAAAGCATTAAAGCCATGGGATGGGCATGATGGTCAGACAACTGGCATTTCCAGAAGTGGAAGGCAGCAGTGACAGTGCATGTATTTCCCACAGCACGTTTCCTTTAATAAGAGACTTGGTGATGATAGAAGGTCCACTTAATGGTTACCAAATGCGTATTGTATTCCTGTCACTATTGTTTGACAGCCTTATCTTCCGCCTGCAGTCCTTTTCTTTCTTGTTTACCTTAGTTGTTTATGGAATGTTTTTTGTTCACAAATAAAGGAAATGGATTTGTTTGGTAACATTCTTTTGTATCTGATCACAGAGCTTTGTGTAACTTTATTTTTAGGAGTGGAAAGTATGTGTACAAGCCTTTGATGAATGAGACCTGCTGCCCGCAGTATACCATCAGGTATTTTTCTCCTTGGAGTAATGTATAAATATTTAAACCTGTGTCCTATGTGTATTTCATTACAATTACTATTTCCAGTATATTTGTAGGTTGGATTTGGGTAAGGCATGCACACAAGCTTTCCCTAGGCCTTCAATATATGCTCCCTGTGTTCTGGGTCTACTTTAGTGTATATTCAGTCATAGTGTATATTCAGTCATATTGTGTGTACGTGTATATACTATATATTGTAATACATTAATACATGTACGTTGATAAGATTATTTACACATACCATTCAATAACAAGCGCTTTCAGGGCCTCAAGGGTACCCCTTCATCAGGCTATTTAGCCGGAACAGTAGTAACCCCCCAAAAGCAGGTGGGTGCTTGCAGCGACCACGGACGGCACCGTGTGTAACACAAGAATAGAAAGTCAAAGTCGCCAGCACAACAAAGTAATTCAGCAAAAGTCCATTTATTGACACACTGCCATTCAATAACAAGCGCTTTCGGGGCCTCAAGGGTACCCCTTCATCAGGCTCAGTATGAGCGCTTTCGGGGCCTCAAGGGTACCCCTTCATCAGGCTCAGTATGAGCGCTTTCGGGGCCTCAAGGGTACCCCTTCATCAGGCTCAGTATGAGCGCTTTCGGGGCCTCAAGGGTACCCATTCATCAGGCTCAGTATGAGCCTGATGAAAAGTGTTCAACTTTTCATTTTCCACTTTTGGGTCACGACCCACCAATTGAGAATCAAGGCTCTAGGTCATTCCTGGATGGCTCAGCTTCTAACCGTGCCATAGACACAAGATCCTATCGTTCACATATCTGCAATTTGCTTGGGCAACAATAGCAGTACATTTTGTTGGGCAAAATGCAGAAATATAAAAAGAGAACCCAAAAGACTTTAGGGTCCATTGAATTATGCAAGTAACAGATTTTTGAGTAAGTACAAAATCAATTTTCCTGACTTTTGTCCATGTAACCTTGCCTTTTTGGACAGGAGAGAGGTTGGAGCCTCATGATAGATAGATCTGTTTCCAGATTTTACCATGCTGTCTCTCCATATTTTTCTTAGTGTATTGATTATAGAGATATGTAGAATTGCCACTAGAGGGAGCTCCGTATATCACTAAAATTGCTTAACTTCCTTTCCTAACAACTATTAAGATGAGGAATTAGACACACAGGGATTATTAATGAGTCATTCAACTCATGGACTTGATTTGTGAGAATATGCTTCACTGTTCAGTCATAGTGTATGTATTGTGTGTACGTGGATATGCTATATATTGTAATACAATAATACATGTACGTTGATACGATTATTTACATCATTCTGATCTCTTTCACATCTTTTATTTAATAAAATATTTACAAAGCTATATCTTCCCTTTAACCGTATTACAAGACTGTTCTCTTTTTTATGAGTGGTGGATGAACAATCTAGTGAAGACTTGTAGGACGTAAATATAATAAAAGCTACAAAAAGAAAGTCAGCAAAGATTGAATGATAATTAGATTGCGATTGATATAAAAGTGAAATCCCCCAAAGTGTTTACAAATCTGAAATCTGTAGAGGATGTAGCAAAAGTTTAAGGTAGCAAATGCATTTATTTGTTTGTTGTCTTATGAAAAGAGTTGCCAATGTTTTATACTATGATGGAGAGATGTAATTTGTGCTTCTGATTCATTATTGCTTTTTGAATGTTGGCGGAGGTGATGTAAAAGTAACAAAGTTAGGATATGTAAAGTACATGGTCCAGATGTTTTCTTTCCCTGTGTGCTAAATAAACAGGAGGTCAGTTAAATTGCAACATGGGAATAATCCCCATGAGGAGTATGAAAGTAGCATCACAGCCAGATGGTTCTGATGGTAATGAGCAGCAGGAGGTCTTGACCCTTAGTATGTGCTGACCCTCTATCTTCAGTACTGTCAGTTACTGACCCAGAACAGGTATGTAGTTCAGAAACGTTATTCCTTATCTGCACACTTGTTCTGGGTCAGTAAATCATAACATTGAAATAACAGGGCTAGTGTGATAGCCAGGAAGCTAGAATGTTAAGTATGTAAACTTTTCATGTATTGTATGTAAACCCCAAACTTTTCTTTCTTTAGTTTTAGATGAAGAATGGAAGGATTAGAACCTTATTGGTTTTATATTGCTGTCTGTGCCTCTGCTGAGGACATTTACCCTTAATATTTGTCCTGGAGTCTATTGTCACTGGGACTGGAAGTGATGGGAAATCCAACATTTTGAGTTGTTACCTGAACAGGACCAGTTAGAAGTTCTTCCACTTTGGGGGTCTGTCTAAGAGGGCATCTACTATACTTTGAAAATATTTATTTTCACTTCCTATTATGTCTTCAGAACAGGAAGTGAAGGCAACTCTCTCCTGTAGCACAAAGATGGCAAAAAAACCCTGACAGGGATTTAACCCATTCATTCCTCTGCAAAGCTAAAAAAGAATGAAAACAAGTTGGCTTTACGTACACTTTAAATTATCCTAATGACAGTATAATCTAAAAGCAGGCACTTAGAGGGATCGCAGGGAATACACTTTCTGTATTTGAGAAATGACACATATGTGTATATCTCTTTCTTTCTAGATTATGTGCTACAGATTTCTATCCCAACAAATCACACAAGAAAGTCCTGAAAAAAATGCAGAAGTTTCTTCAGGCTGGGGAAATCTCTCGCTCTGCAAATGACGGTGAGAACATTAGATTGTTACCGTCAGTAAGCTTCTTTATTGAATTGATGTAAAGTTCATGGAGCAAATATTTCACTATAGCAGTACAAGACAAACAATTTTATTTGATGTAAAAACTGTCTATTTTTAGAGTGCTGTTTTAAAAACCTCTTAATGGGCTTCAGTGCATCCACCACTACTCTTCACAGATTCTCAGTTAGAACCTATTTAAGAGCAGCTGCAAACTAAAGCTCTTTAGCTTTTTTTGTAGTGGCACAGCAGCAGCATATACTCATGTCTCTTACTCTCACACAGCTTTGGCTACTGCGACAAGGGAAAGAAAGCCCTGTGCAAGCACATCAGAGCCAGCAACCACAGAAGGAGGTGGCCGGTTGTCATTTCTGAACAACCAAGATTATCAGGAGACTCGAACGCTCCACAATGGGCAAAGCTGGCATGAAGGCACCTGAAGATGTCTGCTGTGTTGGACAGCTACATTTTTAAGGGGAGGGCTCAGGTTCACTTTAAAGCTGAAAGTATAATCTGCTTCTGTTTGCCTTTCTAATGCTAATTAACTTTTCCGTTTTCATTGCATACCTTGTATTAAATGCAGTGAGGTTATCACTTGGTGTCCGTGATTCTCTATGTAACGCAGGCAGATCATGGCTGGTGGTAGGGGCTGGCATGATGCTGTTCATAGCTTCCTGAAAACAGGAAGCAATGGTAATGACCACCTGTGATGCTCAGCATCCATGATTGAAAAAAGTGAAAACCAGTTAATGAAAAGGGTAGGGCTGGGGTGTCCTCCAGCCAGGAAATGAGGCCGGTTGTATTTGACTTGCTGATGTTTCTACTGCAATCTGTGATAAGCTCTTAGTGTGCAATACAATTGGAAGTAAGCAATTTCAGTACAGGAGAGGAGCTTAAACTGTGCAAGCCTGAAGGTAAAGCTGTGGTTCAGCTTTAAAAGTAATCAGTATCTATGAGTTTGCTGTTCCTTTCTTTTTTCTTTTTAGAAATTCCTGGAGAGCCAATGGATTCACAGGCTGGAAGTCCAATTTCCCACAATGTCTGTATTCATGACAAGACTGATATTGCTCCAGAAGACTTGAAACCTTTGAGTGCAGTGCTAGAGGAGACGGAAGAAAACAACAAGGGATTGCTCTCGAGCATTGATGAGAACGTTAATGAAGAACCAGTTGAATCAGAACAAGCTGCTGATCCCAGGACGGCTTTTCAGTCAACTCCAAAACCTGGTATGTCTCCTCTGCAGTCAGCAAGCTGTTACCAAGTTTACATGTTGGTGAATGTTTTGCGTTTAATAGGTAACATACACCAAGAATATTAACATTACAGTATTAAATAAACAAATATTACAGCTGAGCATAATGGGATATAAAAATGACAGTCACATGGCATAAATACAGATCTTTGTCCTAGTGTAAAGCTTCATGATTTAAAATCTAATGTATGTAGTTTAAGCTGCTTTAGAAATTAGCATTTATCTTTCTTTAACTGCTGTTGTTTAGGGCAAAAAAAAAGAGCTTGTATAGGTGCAAGACAGTATTTGTGATACATTTGAAATGACCTGGATTTCTATGTGAATATGGTCTGATCTAGGGATGCACTGATACCGATACTAGTATCGGTCCTGATACCCAAATGCTCCGATACTTATCCCAATACTGGAATTTCCGGTCAGAGGGAGATTTCCTCTGACCGGCAGTGCCATGAGGAAACATGGAGCAGGCTTCCTGATTGGCTGGGAAGCCGGTTCTATGCTGTTTGGCCAGCTCGATACTGATTTAGCCGGGAAGCTGGCTTCCCAGCCAATGACCCACCTCCCAGGCTTCCTGATTGGCCGGGTAAGCCGGCTCCATGCTGATTGGCTGGGATGCCGGCTTCCTGGCCAGTCAGCATGGAGCCGGGAAACCAAGAAGCCAGGCAGCAGGTAATGACATATAAATGTCGGCACTCGATACCGAAAAAACGGCATCGGTGCATTCCTAGTCTGATCTTTAGACAAGTTGCGTAGTATGTTTAAACTAATAATGCACAAACAATTGTACTTGTATCACGTTTATGCTAAAATTCCCTTTAAACATTTGTTGTACAGGATGAAAAAAGTATGTGAATTTTTTAATTTGGTAACTGCCAGAGCCACTTTTGGCTGCAGTTCCACCAAGCAATTGTGAAGCTTTCTGGTTTTCCTTTTTAGGTAATTCCACAGCATCTCAATTGGATTAAAGGCTGGACTAAAAAAGTTCTTCTGTTTTAAGTTGTTCTGTTGTTGATTTAATACGGCAGTTTGGGTAATTGTCCCCTTGCCTATACAAATTGAATTGTATTGTTCCCCTTATGATAGCTGATGGGATGGAGTTATGGTGCTGATGTGCAGTCCCTTTTTTCCAATTGTTTTGGGTATTTGGTGCATTATCTTTTTGCATGTGACATGCAGCATTTTATTTTTTGGACACTAATGATTTCATCATTGCTGTGTTTTTTTCAAAGTTTGGGATTAAGTAGTGAGCGGTTGGTGTGTTGACCAGGGTTCTAATGACAGTCGTGTGAGTAAGGTAGTCAAAGTCCTAAGGAGGACGATTAGGTATGGATAATGGGTTCCACGTGTCTCAAGTACTCACGGAGTCCTTATAACAGATACTGCAAGTCAAATATTGGGATAAGACCATGTGATAAGCATAGTAAATAGGGTTCAACCATAATATGACAGATTACGTTAGTGGGCACTGGCAGCAGAAATGCAGTAGTGGGCAGGTTTACTGAAGTGCACTGAATTCTTGGTCCAGCCAGCTTTGTCTGTTCATGAGTGTCCTTTAGTGGGATCTTTGTCTTCACTATTCACGGATTGGTAATAGACCCGATGTCAGTTGCTCCTCCAGGAACTCCAGTCAGTGTGGTATAGTTTATCTCCTCCACTTCCAAGAGGTAGAATAGCACTTTAGGTTCATTGAGCTTATGTAGGTTGAAAGTGTCCTTGCAGTTGCTCTGATATGCCCCCCCTCCCACCTCCAGGGAATGTCCATTAGTGCTAATAAGTTCTTCCTCTCCTACAGAGCAGCATGGTCATACAGTGAGGGGGAAGTTAGTAAGCTGTTGAGCATGCTAGCTCAGGATCCACAGCACCATTCAAAATGGGACAAAGTGCTTCGTCCTTTGGGTCGGGGGGCAAGACAAGATCTGAATGAGTGAGACTGCTTTTTAAGACCTTTTTTCGTAGAGGCCACATTACTCCAAAAGGTTCTGAAACTTTTTCTTGCAACCGTATGCAATTTTAAGAGGTGTGTGGGGGAGGAATGAGAGTTTATGTTTAGTGAGAAAGAATACCCAGATCTAGCTCAGATGTTATAACATTTTTCCTCTTTTCCCCATTTTTTTTTCTTAAGTATTTTTAAAAACCTCCGAATTAGTTTCCTGGTTTCTGTATGAGAGATAATATACAGAGCAAGTCTATGACTTCAATGTGTGCATCACACATGTTGTGTTTAGCTATAGATTTATTGGCATGGAAGTAAATGGCATAACAGGCGAGGATGCCTTTCCTGTTGTCTCTTGGAAATTCTTGCACTTTGATTGAGTTTTGTCCCACGCACATATGGCTTCTTTTTATTTTGCTGTTTGTACTAGAAGTACCGATGAGTAGGAGTGCTGGGTGGTGTGCACATGATTTAGATCAATGTGTGTGGTTCTGGGGCTGTGTTATATCTTCTCATGCATCTATACTGCTCTGATGGATGTGTTGAGCACATGAAAAGTCAGCTCTGTAAAAAGTGATTTGGACGATATGGAATTTACAGTTAGAAAGTAGATATTCAACCCAATGTTACATTATGTCTAATTCTAACTCTCTGGCAAATGTGTAGGAGTTTTGATCAATGTTGTGGATTGTGTTTGCTGCTTAAAATAGAGCTCCAGATATTGTTCTTGTTTTGGATAGAGTGGGAAAGGGTTCTGTTCCTATTGAGGAGGATTTCCTCCATTTCCTGTCTCGTTGACGACCATCATTGGGACTGGGCATGGGGGGGGGGGCCCTCTTCATCAGGGACATAGGTAGCAATCAAACACAATTATTGAACTTATCGCTGCTGTCTGGGTCTATCTTGAGGAGATTTCTCCTCACTTCCTTTGGTCACCTTGCTGGAAGTGAAGAGAAGGCATTCCAGTGCCGGTCCAGACAGCATTAACAAACTTGGCAGATTTTAAAAATTTTCCCAAATCCAAAAATTTCAGAAAAAATATTGTTTTGGCCAGTTTTACACCTTTTTACTCATTATTTTAGCTATGCTGCATGGGTTGGGCCTTCCTATATCAGGATGGCAAGTTGTATCTTACCGGGTATTGGATTGTAAGGGAGCACTTTAGCTGGGGCCTTGAGGGAGATAGTGGAAACACCATCTACTGCAGGTAGAGTAGTAGAGGGCATATCATTTCAACACCCCAATGACCACCCAAAATTAAAATCCCAATTTATGTACAAGTCAGCCTATACCTGTGTGTTTGTTCATTCATGTACTGGAGAACCCCATAATCCAAGAACTCAATTGTGCAAATACTGGTCAGCTCCTGTGGTTGATTACTGTAGCCCACCCCCTCTCGCACGTTACTTTTGGCCCGTTACTCTAAATGGGCTACCTCATTAACCAGTAAGGAGATGCTGAAGAGAAGTAGCTGCAGTTCCCTACTATGGTGTTCTGGAGGAAGGCAGTGATGCTGATCTAATGACTTTCTGAGCGACTGACCCAGGACAAATATGCAGCTAATGTATTCAGGGAAATATCATATGTATTAGGGATCAGTAATTTGAAAAGTACTGAAGCCATTAGACCTGTATGTAAACAAGGCTTTTCTGCATTGTTCTTAAGCATGTACCGCATCTTAGTGGGCTTTACTTTGATACATAACAGGTATAGGTGCTGACGCCAGTAAACCACCATGTCGGAAAGCCAAAGACATCCGCAAGGAACGTCGCTTGAAGAAACTCCAGCTTCAAAATTCTGATCATGCCACGTCCTCGGGGGAAAATGTCACCATCAATGTCAACGCATCAAAGCCAAAAGCATTTGGTAGCAAGTCAGTGGAAGAATTTCTTGTTGTGGCAGACCCAGAGAAAGCAGCACATTTACTTGAGGTATGATGTTCTGTCCTTTGTTTTGTAAATAATTCCTATTAATCAGGGCAATAGCCAGTAAGGCACAGCAGCCAATGACATTTTAGTTAATAGTAGTCAGGCAGTTTAAGAAGACTTGTGATTGGTTGTTTATGGTTAGCTGCACACTGCATATTGCTGTCTTTATTATAAAATCTATAAGTGCAAAGACAATTTTTTAGTTTTTCCTTTTCTGATTTAAACTCCCTCTCTGCCTCTGTGTTGCCGGTGTGGGAAGATGATGTTACCCACACTCACTCAACCCACACTCACTCACTCAACCCACACTCACTCACCCACCCACCCACAATCACACCCACCCACACCCACCCACACCCCCTCACACCC